GAAAGACCGTTGGCATTTAATTTATTCACATTTGACTTATCTATCATATTTATGTTCGACTACGCCGTGTCCACAAAGATTTTCAATCACACAAATTTTGTATGGATGATATTGTCGCTCGTTTTGATGCGAGTGTCAATGGTAGAAGGCGACGCTGATACTTTTAATAAAAGATTCGAAAGAATTCTTTTCACCACCCCCGCGCGTTATAATAGAAGGAACGCGAGATTCGATAGTCCAGACGCAAAGTAGCAGCGATTTGCGACGCGCAGACACGCGCTTCGTCGTGTCACTCTTTCATTATCATTTAAATTTCCCGTCTTTGACAGGTACCGGCAAGAGCGCATCCTTTTCTGGGGGAAAAAAACACCGCCGGAAAAGGCACTCTGCCCTTTGTTGCGGACACTACCTTTTTCGAGGCATTGTAAAAGCAGTCGTGATTGGCGGGCGAGGGGGCGAAGAAGCGCGGCGAGAGGGTGGACGACGGAGGGTGGCGGTGCATCTAAGGGTGACGCGCATGCGCGCGTCGAAGGGTTGGTCGCGCCGAACAGCCGTGGCCGCCGTCGCCGTCGAGGAACGTCGTCGTCGGCAGTCGGCATCGGCGAGCCGCGGTTCGTACGTCGTCGTCGCTTTTCCGGCTCTCGCGCGGTGTTTCCGGCGTCCAAGCCGGCGAGCCGAGCATTTCCCTTACGCGGTCAAGTAAAAGAAAAATCAACTCGCTCCTCCCTTCGCATATAGCGAGTCAACGACGCGCGCGAGCGAGAGCGCGTCGCGTGCGCTCGAGAAAATTGCGCCCATTTACCCATGTAAAGTCGTATCGCGGTCGCGGTTTCGCGCGTCCCAGGTGTGGTGAGTGAAAAACGGATTTTTGTGATAGGACCTTCCAACGCGCGGACGATTGGCGCACGCACCACGACCGATCCGATCCGGCGCACAACGGCCCTTCGGCCCTTCATCCCCCGAGCTAGCAGAATTCGTGACTAATCGGCGAGGCGAGTGGAGCTGGAGCATGTAACGGAGCGGATGGGGTGAGTAGTAGTCATTCTGTCGCGCGATCACGGTAACGCGGACCGTGCCGCTTTTGCGGCCAGTAATTGTTACTCAATACGTTGCGGTCGCGACGCGGAAAGAGCACTACCGCTGGCAAATTTCGAATTACATTGCTGACAACGATGACAATTTTGTGTCGGCAATAGCCGGATACCCAGCAGAACGTGTTTATCTTTGTTACAGTAACCATCGCTGAAACGTTTCCTCGAAACATCGAAATTTATTTCGATTATCATATTTGTATTAACAATCGAATCAAAGCAGATTTATCATTTAATTCGTAATATTATTCAAAGATAAAAATCGGAAATCTCGATAATCATATTCAATGTTAAATATGTGTCGTGAAAATATAAACTTTTTATTTATCTTTAATTTCTTGCATAGCGAAAACAATAGTTATATTTTTCAGTTCAATAAATGTAAAAAGAGATAGGTTCGGAACAGAAAATCTAATGAAAAAAAGTTTAGCACTAAACTTGGAAAGTCGAAGAACAAACTTCATTATTACGTAACATCCAAGTAGATATCAAAAGTTTAGATCGATCATTAAAAAGGCTATTTAAAATAAAAGTCGGTGGTTTAATTTTCTATGCGTTTGAAATATAATTTTCATAACTTTATGACACTGGATATATGAATGACAATAACGAACAATTTTAGGTAAAAGCGTGACAATTGTATCCTGCCATCACATAGATTGCCACATATGAAAACGAGGGATTCATGCTTTTGGCAATGAAATTGGATTTATATTTTCTAAAGTAATATTTTTTTAAATATAATCTATGGAAATTATGCAAAAACGTTAAATGTTCTCAATAAAAAGCGGGTTGTTATACTATTTCTTTATATGAATAAAAATTTAACAAAATATTTCTCGCGTAAAAGTTTAGCATCCATGGTTGTTACATAAATAGCCACTTTCAAAAGTAGAGTTCATATTTTCGATTTATATAAAATTTGTCTTTTTTATATTATAGATATATTTTTTCTCTAAATTAATCTTCGTTTTTTAATCTTATTCTCCATAAAATTGGAGGAAAATTGAATTTTTGAAACACAAAATATCGTTTGTTAATACTATTGGTATTTTTTCGCGTATAAATAACAATATCGAAAATTTTTTTGTGGAAACCTGGTTTTACTCTTTATTATTATACAATATCGAATTTAAAGCTTTTATATTTTCAGCGATTGTTCATCAATTAAACTTGAATTTTTAATAGATTTTCTACAAAACAATATATATTTAAAAAAAAAATTTTTTTATTAACAGAAAAGTTGAACTTTTTTTACAAAAGTATAATATATTAATGTTACTTTTTGTACGACTAGCAATATCGAGGAAATTTCTAAAGCTCTAATAATTGCAATATGTCATTATATGGATTGCTATATTCGAATGCAAGAGGTTCATGTTTTTGGCGATGTCGGCACTCCATATTGCCCGCATGTTCGATCGCTTCAACTATAATAGGTCACGAAATATAATCGGGCTGCGGCATCGGTACGGCCGCCGTTGCAGTTTGTAATATACTGGCAATACAATATGGTGTTTCTCAAAACTTTGAAGTGGGCTGCGGTTGCAGTTGAATTGCTTCATTAGATCTTACTTGTACGGGGGTTAAGACCGTCCCGATATTACTATTCCGCGCGTTACGGCCGATTCCGCAGTGTGAGTTCGCACATCGAATTAGCCGAATTTCCAACGCGAATGCGGGAATAGTAACTCCATCCCGGGTCGTTGAAAAATCTTCTGGATGATGTATGAAACGCGAGCAGCTTTAAAAAGGAACGTCTGTTCCAAAAACGATATATTACAAAAATATATAATAAAATTGTTTCCAAAAATATATTCAAAAATTTTTATTAACAAATATCTATTAGAAATATCAAGTTAATAATTAAGAAAATATATAATCGTTGTACGAATTTGTAGGCATGGTTTCCTTTTCGGGTGCAATAGACAGATTTGGTAACAAATCGCGGTTGTTTAGATACATAAAGACAGGCTGTGCGTGAACAATGCGGGTGAAGATTCTCTTTCATTCATTTTTTTCATATTTTTATTGGCCAGACGTCGATTAAAATCGGACGTGTTTACAAATTCGTGGAAGCAGTAACTGTAGTCGCTCGTATTATGGTCTAGCGGCACGTGATTCCGTAATAAAAGGGCGCGACAAATGGGCTGCAATTTTGTTCTCGATATCGTGCGTAAAAAGTTTGGGAACCCAACGCGTGCGTTGTTTTATGTATGGATGTTTTATTTGCGTCTCGAAAGGATACTAAAGTACATATAATACTAATTATCGCTCAATTGGCATAAAAACATTCAATTTAACAATTTATCATTTTTTATTGATTTTTAATTCAACATTTTACAGCAATTTGCAGTTGAAACTTTTAATTTCGAAAAAAATAATTTTAATTAAAATACATTTTTGGTAAAAAACTATTCTTTATCGGAATACGCGCGCGTATACAGAATTTCATTCCTCTCTTCCTTAGTTTTTATATAAGTTTTTCATAAAATGCGAAAAAAGTTATATTACGTTACAGTTATATTTCAGTAATTATAATGTTTTTGTTTGCAATTATTTATTTTTAAACTAAAACATGAACTAGAATATTATAATGAATTACAATGTAATTACATATGTCAAGTTAATAACTTTAAAATTTACTCTGAATACAGAATAGTAATAATGGCTGACATTAAATTAAAATCTGGCTATGTATAAAACTAGCTTTATTTCAATTAAATCATCATTATTATTTTTTTGTGTTACACGGAAAAAAAGATTAGCTGGCGTAGCTAAAAACTGCGTGTGGTAACTAGATTTCAGTCGTAATATATGAACATCTTAGCTGTCTGTGACACCTATTTATTAGGTGCAACAGCAAACATCTTAGCTGTGATACCTATTTATTAAGTGCAACAGCAAACCGTTTTGCTGCAGTTTGGAAATTTATTTTGCAAACCATGATTAGCTATGGTAGCGAAATTTTTTTTTTCCGTGTGAGAATTCTTAATTACACCCTCGCACAATTTGCGCAAAGATACGTATGAGTTTTAGGATACGTCATTGTTAAATAAGTGGATTCGTTGTTCAATAAATTGGCTAGTGAGAGATCTAATGATTATGCGGCGCACTTACGTTTGATATTTAGTGCGATGATGTGTAAATAAATATGAAATAAATTGATCATGTTAGCGAACGTGAACGAATAAAATTCCGTTCGTCATGGCGACCTTGATTAAAACTCAAAAATAGTGGTAATTTCTATAAATTTCTGACAAAGCGTTTCGCGCTCGCGGTTGATTGAACGTACTAATTCGATATTTAATATTAACCCAATGTATCGTTGAATTATGAATACGGCGGGCAACAACATGGCGCACAATAAATTCGACGTAAATTGATCCGCGCGTTCGGTAGATGCGTATGCGATCGCATCGACGCCAATATCGGAAGTTAATTAAATACACTTCTGCATTGTAACTTTAATAATATCAAGGCTGACGCGCGTATTTAATTACGCCTAAATTTACTCGCTTTTCTCTGTCTCTCTCTTCCTCTCTCCTCTCTCTTTCTCTCTGCGATATCTTGCGCAACTGCGGTCGTTGATCGGTAACAACGATGGTAACCCGTCATTAAGGTTCTTAATGAAAGGTGCTGAATCGCTGAGTACGCATACGGTCGGATAGAGTTATTTTCGAAAGTAATTCTGTGTCACAACAAAAATTCTTATAGATCTCAATGAATTTTTCTCCGAATAATTATAGCTAATAAACTCTACGCATTTTTTCCGAATAAAATACATCAAATGATGAAATATATATTAGTTTGGGCAAAAGGCTAACAATAATTTTGCCGTTACGGGCACGCTTATCACACGCAGGAGCAAAGTAACCCCATTTGGCGGTACACATAAAGTCGAGACACGGCGCGAAGTAGAGAGCGACGGAGTGCGAGAAACAAGGTCGAGGAACGGGAAAAGTGGGGAGGGAGAGGGTGCGAAGAGTGCCTTGAGTCGTCTACTGGAGTAGTGCAAGGGAAGAGTGTGCAGGAGGTAAGAGAAAGGGGGTGGCGGGGGAGTGCGCCTGGGGAACGCGAGGGTCGGATGATGCCTCTGGTTCCTCTACTTTCCGTGCACCTTTTGCTCCTTCCCCTTCCTTCCTTTGCCGTCTTTCCTTCCTTCTTTCGACTCCTTCATCTCCGTTAGTCCTCCCGCCTTTTCTATATCGTATCCTTTCGCGAAACCTACCCCATCCCCGCCGATAGACAGAGAAAGCAGAGATGGTCGAATGTCTGACGGTCTACCGAGCTCGCCTTGGTTTTACATGGTGGCGTTCTCGCGAAACCGGAAACCGCGCACGAGATTCGCGACATGTGCAGAGCTGTTCGTGCATTTGCTTTTAGTAACTTCTGTGTCATTTTATTTGCGCTTTCATATCCGATTGCTCGTTGCATCGAACCTAGATTGCTAGCCAGAATCAATACCATTTATAGGTAAAATGTAGCGTCTAGAGAATGAATAATTCCGATATTAATTGTAATAATTTTTATTTTAAATATTAAATTTGTATAAAATTAATATATAATTTATATTTTATAGATTTTCCAGATTTTGGATAATTATTAACAAGAATTATTATTGCTATATTGAACATAATAATCTCAAATCTATTCTTACAAAGTAGAATTGTTGCAAAACCATTTATATATTTTTTTTAAATAATATATTTTGCAATTGTTAGACGAACATGTAGCTTACGTGCAACATTTTTCAGAGTTTTCTGATAGCGGTTTCAGTGCGACATAGACAGCTACATATGAAGTATATACAAGTAAGGAGATGTGATAGCTAGTTTCATATTACACTGTCGCATAATGCCCCGCCATCATAAAAAGGGAAAGGATATATGAAACATAGGGTTTTCTTCAAAGGGGAGGCACCAGCAAGAAATAAT